TGGAAGTGTTTTAAGGACAGGATTAGTGGCATACTAGTAGATTTACAATAGCATTGTATATAATCTACTGATAGGTTATTAGTCTCAGAGGTTGAAATACCAGTTTAGGATTAAAATATTTGTCATTTAAAGCCGATTAACGGCATTTTTCATTTTTGGTCTATTTCATTCAACCTCCCGACTCAAAATTGATGAAACCAGAGCAAATTATTAGCAAATGAAAATTGACGTGGACACCCTTGACAAAGATACAAGAAGAATAAGTCCAGATATCCCAGAAGGGTAAGCGCATACAGTTTCACCGACGACACCCGTCATGCAAATCTAGGTCAAATCCAAGGATAATTGATGTTTATATCGACCAAAGGAAATAAGCTATTTCTTAATGAGATCATGATAACGACTTGAGTTTTGCCGACAATCGTTATTGACAGTTTTTTTTATTTGGAACCATTTGCTATACGATTGGCCGTCAACAGTTGACATTTATCACCGAAAATATTATATTCTTGACAAGTGTTTTTAATACCGAATCCATTGCAACATATGAATACAGTATGGGGCAGAGGTGTTACCATCAACAAAAGGAAATGTCACCATATGACAATTGAAAACATCCCCCTTATCGTTACCTGTTGGTGCTGCTGTCAGCAACACAAGCACATGAGTGAAAGAGGCTGTAGTGTCCTTTTTTCAAGAGGACATATATAAGATCGACTTAGTAAATAATTTCTTCTTATGTTGATATAGCGCATCGTCGATTTAACTGTGCTTAAAATGAAAGAACTTGACAGGGTTTTGTTACCGGTCCTGATAAGCTCTTAACAAACTCATCCTGATATGGGAATATAAACAAGTCCGCTAAAAGAGGGGCACAGTTTGTTCCCATATGGAATGCGTACAGTTCGCCAGAACATTTTGTCACTAAACTAGTCAAAGATATTGTCTTTATTTTACAACATATGCACGAAAAATAGTTTAAAACCAAATATGTATATCGAAGTTCTCCTTTCTTGTAAGAGAAGCTCTCACTTATAGAGAATGCAGACGTTGCGGTGAAATGATTGGAGAAAGTCAAGTTGCGGCTATTTTCTTCAGAGCATGTTCCCTCAAGACCGTATATGCACATATTGTTGTTTCTTTTGCTTATTTATTTTTTATAAGACAATCTAAGTACAATTGCAAAAAAGTAAGTGATATATTGAACATGACTGAGATTGAAAAGGATCCATCTTTGAAGTTACCCATTCTTTAATGTTCACCTTTGCAACACAAACAATTCTTTTACCCTCTCACCTCTATATAGGTATGAAGGGTAGATAGGTCATCGAGACCTACATTTATCATACTCCCGACAAAGAAATAGTACATAAAAAACAAAATCGTTTGAATTAAAATGTTCATTATGTTGTCGACTGATACTTTAAAACCTCACGTCATCTCAGTGAGAAATTGAAATTGAATTGCTATTTTAATCGGCGTAATGCTATTTATCGCAAAGCACAGACAACAACAGACATCGTTAAACGGACATAAAGGATTACAAAAGATCTAGAAGCTTGCTGTTGACATTTTAAGTCGGGTTTAACTTTTAACCATACCTGTATTAAATACCTAAACCCATACTTTTTTCTGGTTTTGTTCGAAATAAAACCTGTCCTACGTGTGCAGTTTTCGATACAAATATTTTACATGTATATTCATTGCTGTGCTGGCAAGGTGAGCGATGACTTTGAAAGTTCCCTGAAAGAAATGGTCGAAAAAAGTCGATCTTTGTGGAGCTATGAAATGTGTGCATATTCTACCGTCGTATATAGAATTCCCATACGGCAAATGTACCAGACTCAAAGTATTGCGATATTACATTACATTTTCATGTCAAGTATATCTTACCAAAATAACCATTTCGAAAGTGATTATCGATACGTTCCGTTTTACGCCAGTTGTCATCATATGTACCACTTTGTTCCTGTTTATACACTGTGACACAGCAAATATGTCGTACTGAGATATTCATGTTTGTGTCTTGTTAACACGAGTTAAATGTGGTTCTACATGCCTTATCTCCCGAACGAAGGATCACTTGCTATTCGTTGGTAGGTCATCTCGATCTGTTAGCACCAGCCAATTCCCAGTTGACCAATGGACAGTTTCGGACGTGTCCACATTGGTTTCTATTTTCTTATCTGTTATCGTCTGTAGACATGTTTCATTATATTTTGCTAACCACGATCCTCCTGACACTGACAACTATTTCATGACATACATCGTGACGAGACAAACGTCTAGTCAGTCATACCTAAGTCATACCAAGCATCGTACAGGACTCTCCTGTTATTTTCATTTCAGAATATATATTGTTCAGATCTTAGATACAAAGGAATTGGGCAACAGGCAAAGCCTATGAGCGCTCTCTCCTTACAGTTATAAACAGCATACACACATCATATTGAATTGAAGTAATGATAAAACATGGATATTATGTACATGAATATTGATATTTACATGTCATTATTATTTTTTAGAAAATTATTGTACTAAAACAAGATTGTAAAAAAAATGGCAATTAAAATGATGCTGGTGGACAGCACATAGTACAATTATGTACTGGTATCATTCCACAAGGCAAAGTCATGTGAAAAAAAAGATAAACAACTAAGTGTAATCTAGTAAAAGCGTCTAGTATCTTTTATCAATAGGTAATATATATTAGCAATGTCGAATACCTCTCTTTCTTTGTAGAAGGTCGCGATTGTCTTTCCGTCTGATACCAACTATATTACAAGTTTGCACATTTGTATATGACTTATGAACGTAACACACATTAATTGTCTGGTACACGTATGAAGAAGAGGCGAACAGGAAAAAAATGATTTAAGAAAAAGACCTTTTTAAAATCTCTTAAAACGATGGTTATCACGACAAAACCCCTCAAATTGTCCATTTTCCAAATTTTCTCTCAAATTTCAAAAACATAAATATTTTCTTTACTTCATTCCTAGCACTTATGTCTTCTAACTATCGTGCGTAGGAGATTTCCTCTTAAAACTCTCACTTTGATCTTCTCTGATGTTACGACATTAAAGTTTTAGGACTCACTAATGAGAAAAGGGGGATCGTGAAAAGAGGAGGCACATATTTGTTTGGATCAACAATCCGAGAGTAAAAGGCTCTCCACGAATGCTTCACACTGCGCAGTCAGTGCTCAATTGTGTAAAAGCATTGTTAGGTTTATCAGTCAAAAATCAACTACAAAGAAATATCTTATTCAGCTATATATAAATCTATAAAAACTTCATTCATTGAGCGTTAAACATAATTTAATCTTATGATATCACTTTGTTTAATATCTATATTCAGCGTATATACTTTTTTTTTTCTGTTTTTTGCTTCTGTTTTTGATGTTTTTGGTGATAGTAACCATGCGTTGGACAACATTGACACCTTGCATTTTTGTGAAAATTCGCACGCGTTGTATACAGAAGAGTGAGCCCCCATCCCTCCCCAGTCACAACTATAGCCTGCTTAATGTTCAGCTGTAGATATGTCAAAATAATTTGACTGCATGATTTTCCGGCCCTACGGGAGGGCATTAGCGGAAAAGCAAATCTCTTCTGCGCTCTACAGACAGAGAGAGAGTTTGCAAACGACCAACTTTTATTTTACGATTTCAAGGCCACCTAGAATATTTTAAATAGTCGTGTACTACGTTTGGCTGAGACCACGTAAACAGCGTTTCTTCAACTAAAAACTGAAACTTTGTTGAAATAAGCATAAAATAGAGATGTTTTTTTTTTTAATTTTTGAATGGCAACATTTTTGTATTCCTATGACTTGCAAAAACTGCCCTTTACATGATGAATGTGAGAAAAATGTCTTGTCAAATTCGAAAAAGCTTACATGCTATGAAGTAATATAGATGTAGGTATGCACATTACTATATCGATATGAGGACAACAATGGCATGCTTAGTAATAATAAAGTGGATATGTTTCAGTGGTGAAACAATAGTGATTGTAGGAAAACTACGTTATTTACTATTCATAAAAAATATTTATAATAGTATCGTTTTTCTGATGATTTGCAATATTTTCATTTTACATTATTTATTAGGTTCAGTAAAAAAACCACTTAAACATGTACTTTATATTGTTTATAATTAATAAAATCAGGATTTTTTTTTTATATTTAAATATTTAACATAACCATAATAATATGATGGATTTGAATAAAACATGATGAATATTTTATGTGATACCGAACTCTTAAGTGAAATTACAGAATAAACATATCGTCTCAATTATTACTGCCTATTTTAACATAGACATCATTTCGTTACTATTTCTGCCTGACATCCTCCCGTACTGCAGGAGGACTACACTCCTGGGACGTACTGACCCGATGTAAATACAGACGTGCTATAATTGTACACATGTTTCGTAATATCAGTGAGCGTTATACGTGGTCGGTACGCTATCCTCCGATTGTGTAAATATGTGTAAAGTACTCGTCAATTTTCTTACCAATGTAAGGTACAATTGACGCATTAGACTCTGGTCGTCTTCCAGGGGTGCTGTCAAATACTTTGGTATAAAGATAGGCAGCATTTTCATTGATAATTTCTTTCACTGGAACTCTTCCATGTTGATGTGTAACTCGATAAGCGGGAAAGTGCGCGTGCTATTAATTCTCACGGATGATTGACACCTCGCGAGTACGGCGGCTGGCAAATGAACGGAACGAGGCGGGATTACTTTAGCCTCACCGTGGGTCATATTAGTCAGATTATATTCCTGGTACGGGTCAGTTTGTTGAAAAATCATCGAAGTCTACGCTAAGTTATAAGTTGATAAAACGTGTACAAGCAGAAGGTCTGTAGATGAATTAGGAAACAGGTGCTGATAAAAATACCGTCTAATTAGGTGCGTGCTTTAAGGCGCACTGGGAAGTTTTTAAAATCGAACAGGGCGTTTTTTTTAATCATTCAAGTGTGTGAAAGGATGATTCCAAAGCACCACATTCCATATTCTATGGAAAATTACACACGGCAGTCAACAGATCATCTAAGTTCAGTCACATCGGGATTGTGTCATCAGATGTACACACAGGAACCTGTCAAACCGAAACAGAGCCAACGTAAACGTAGCAATTCCAAGAGCAGCGACGGTATCGTGAGTGTCTCATCACCAGAAAGTATTGACGATTCTTCTCCAAAGAAACTCAAGAAAAAGCCGCAACTGTCTTTTGAGGATATACAGACACAGCGCGTCATGGCTAACGTCAGGGAACGACAAAGGACACAATCACTAAACGACGCCTTTGCTCAACTCCGTCAGATAATTCCAACATTACCATCAGACAAACTGAGTAAAATTCAAACACTTAAATTAGCCACTCGTTATATAGACTTCCTGTACAATGTCCTGCAGACAGAGGAATACTGGGACAATACATGTAACAACAAAATGACCCCTAGTTGTAACTACATGGCTAATGAGAGGTTGAGTTATGCCTTCTCTGTGTGGCGGATGGAAGGAGCGTGGACGATGCCCACAGAATGAAGAGGCTCCATGCTGTTAGTGATGTCCTATGGTTACTGGTACGTATGGAGAGGGTCTCCAATACTCAAAATATCACTCTGGGTGTTCAGCAATGTACCTTTCTTTAATTACTACGGCTCAATTATATAAAACCTTGGTAGCATTATAGCTTGTTAGATTAAACCTTATATATATATATATACAAGTGAGATGTAAGTTATATAATTATGGTTCAGACAACACATTGTTCATTGATTTTGAAAATATCGTGAAATCCAATCTTATGTTATTGTTATACTAGTGAAACCTGGTACAAAACATTTAAAAGTTTCTTCGATTTAAATGATTTGCTCATCATTTCTCATTATAAAAAAAACCTATATAAATGTAGGAATCAGTTTGCTGATGCATAATTCTAGTACATCATTGTATATGCAGGATAAAGATGTTCCATTTGTTTTATGTCAGTAATTCCAATGGAGGGTTAGGCTAGTTTATGGTTTATTCCATCAATAAAACGGAAATTCGTCTCAAACAGTAAACACATTAGTTATTGATAACATGAATAACCATTGAAAAACTATATATAAACACTCTGTGTAATTTGTTATAAAGACGTGATATTGAGCATGTAGACAATACTTTTACATTCATACCGAGGGGCTGAGTTTAGCTCCTTCATGATATTAAATATCCATGGTTAAGTAGTTTGGATAATAATAATAATAATTAGAATAGAGTACGGACAAGAATATCCGGAAGTTTAATTTTATATCAAAAATGTGAATGTATACTTATTTGTTAATATATATGTATGACGATTACTGATACTTGATCGAATATTTTGAACAGTATGTTCATTTTTTAAAGGCGATTCTAGACGCCCATGCATACTGTATATATGTTTATGTCATAACATTTTGGAAAATATGATAATAATAAAAAAGTAGTTTGGATGCATTACAAATGTTACATATTCTACACACCTACATGTATATCATTTTTGTATTGTACTGTCATACTATTCTGATAAAGAAACAGCCAAAATGTCCAATCAAATTATATCCTATGCATATACAGTAACATTACTAGTGGACTATTTATATATTAATATATATAATGATAATTGATTACGTTTTTCTTTTACATGTATCGTTTTGATTTATCTAAACTCGAATCACATGGCTACCCTTACCAAATATCTACTTTAGGCTTATCATTCTGTTTACGTATATATGTAATTAGTACGTGCAGTCCACGTGTTAGATACTGAACGTGTTCTTTTTCCTAATATCCTGGGACAGTATATTTTAACCGCGAGATCTGACGGCGAAACATGGTATCTGACACTTTTTACCGTGTTGTATAAATCCGCTCATGTTTTCATGGGGGATTTATGGGCAGAGAATGAAATAGTTGCTACTGCTTTCGGCTTCCTCCGTAGTTGCAGTCGGTATAAGTAACGCATGAGAGTTACTCTATCGTGAAATCCCTGGTGGTTAGCATTTCAAGGGGTGTCTAAAATTCGTAACAGATTAGGACAGATTGAAATACGGCTGGAAATGTAGACATGGGACATTAAATCAATAGATAGAGTTTCCAAAACCGACACGAAAATCCGGTTTCTTTGTATGACTTACCTATATATTTGATGTCATAGCTAAAATGTCCTTGTACATTTGATAAAAGTATCAAAAATCTGTTAACTCGGCTTACGTAAATACTTAGATATTGTACTACGTTTAAAATTTATTTTATTGCCAAAATTCTGCAGTAATAAATTAATATAGACAATTCAAGGATTAAAAAACAAGCACAGGATACTTATCTAAATCGTCACTTTCTAGTTATTTGTAGTACTTGTTTTGCCGCACTATAGATCAGTGACATCACTAACAAGAATTCATTATTATTTCTTCGTAATAGACATATAAAGTTAGTTATGAAATATTTAACATCGGCTGTTTACTTCATATGTGTATGAATATATATTTACTGATTTATTCATTCAAGTTTTAAATTTATGCTCGATGAAATTTCCTCGGACAAAAACAATTATCTTGCAATATGCTCACAATGATTTATATATTACCATTTCAGACATATGTTATGTACATATACTGAAACCGGTTTTGTTTATTTAACCACACTATGTAAATTGAACAATAAATTACAGGTGAACACATTACAAATTTTGTGTCTTATCCGTTTGTTGTAGAAGTAAATTGTAGTATAGTTTATCGTTAACTTGATAAAATATCGTATACTCTAAAATGTTCTGTTGAATATATTAAACAGATACACTAACATACCAGCAATTTGTTCTCCTTCCTGTGACAAGACATGCCATATCATTAATTTAATAAAATTTCCTACACTGCTACGGCGGCAGGGCCATTCCAGGCAATCAAATGAGCACTTAAGATATGCTTATCACACGTAGAGGCCTCCTGAAAGCCTAATTAAATTAAAATGGCCGACCAGCACGGATATTTCATACTTAAGGTACTTAGATGTACGTGACTTGTAGTTTATTAATTATATGATAAATAGATGTATTGATACGTGTATACCTCCGGTCAGTTTGGAACCATGTCAATTAATGATATATCAAACAAACACTATATATGCAATGTAAGAAATCATGCTTAAAACCCCTTAAAGTAGGCAAACTCTCTCAAACAGCTTGTATTGTTAACCATAGTTTCAAAAGCTTTGAAGAGAAGAGCAGCATTTGAATATTATCTTCAATCGAAAATAAATGACGTCTGCTGATAGCAATCTTTTTAAACCAAAACATATTAATAATATATTGGTGCCAATGATATTTGATAATAAATGATTAATTTTCAATAAATGTTATTGAAATGTTATAAAATCTGCATGTTTATACACGGTATGTTGTAGGAGTGTTAAGTAAGGGGATACATATTGTCAATTAGGAACGTTCTATAAAATCTTAAATTAATTAATTTAGCTGTTTTACGCTACGATGCTCCATAATATTTCCTGCTGAACAAATCAAGCAGAGTTGCATTGAGATACAGTTTATAATTAACAATGCAGTATATATATATAAGACTATGTGTAAATAACCAGGAGTTTAGTAAATATATAGTCGCTGTGCAGAAATTGAAATAAATTTAAGAATGTGACGAGACCATGTACGTTAACTGGCATTGGTTTAAAACTTAACTAAAAACATGTGTCTATATCCATAAGAGTTAAGAAATCGTATATCTACTAAGTTTTAATCCGTTTGATAAACATCATTTACATGACTCTAATGTGTTCATGACAAATAAAAACAAAAACTTTTCGATTTATGTACTTTTTATCACTTAATTAAACAATATCTCCGTTATTGACAATATTATACAATCTAATTCAATTTTTATAAATCATTGGCACGGTGTCCATTTTGTGTTTGTTTATTCTTAACTATTTACAATGTACATATGTATAGCATTTCTATAATATTAACCGACCAAGTAACAATAGCAGACATAATGATATAAAGTAATTACACAATTGTTAACGATATCTTTATGATGATATCGCCATTAGAATTCTATATTTGTATCAATAATTATATACTATTCATTACAAGTATATGAATTTTGTTTCCAATATATCGTTTCATGACTTGATACGTTTTGAACTGATTTCAGAAAATACTTAGCTTTCAGGCAATTAGCACTCACTATTCTAGTTAATGATCAACTTATCATTACTCAGTTCACTCATTAAATAATCACAAAACATATGAAGCGCCTGCTTATAAAAATAGTAAGTCGATAAAGAAAATTTGTTTGATATCTGATGTTTGTAAAGATACATAATATTATGGTAGATATAATACGAAGATTTAGTTGTTATTATTCAGTATGATAATGCTATTAACATCAAAGAGAATTAATCATGATTCCTAAAGCTACTGCAATGCATGACTTGTCTAAATGCAAACAATTGTCTGGTTTAAGCTGTATTTGGCTTATTAATTTCATACCTCATTAAATCATTAAATCATTTTCAGCTCCTAAATCTTAAATTTGAAATTTTACATAAGGTATCGTGCAGCCAATTATTACTGAAAAAACTGGTTCATGAAAAATAATTGTGCCTGATACACGTCTTCAATACACGTTTGTTAAAATCATTAGCAAGCGAATTATATCTTTTTTGTACATTTACTGTACTGTTTGCAGTTAGTATGTGTAGACTGGTAACGTTATAGTTATGTAAGAAAACCTGCTATTATGTCCACCACGTAGTAAAAACCTTGTCCTAGATTTAATAATGAATTCTACGTAACATTAACGATTGTATATTTTACATCCATTAAGTACTCCTGTCAGTTTTGAATTTGTCTCTCTACCTACACGACACAAATGAGTCACAGGGGCTTAGCCTAAACCTTGAGTAAATAAAATGGAATAAGGCGAGTAAAGCTGGTATTTCTTTGGCGTGGATCTACTGATAACTCAATCAATCGAGGGGATTGGCACTCGGACAAGACCATGTCTGTTTATAGGTAATACACAGGAATATTAAACACAGGTGTGAGTAGCATCTCACCAACAAGGCAATTGTACATGACAATTCTCAGATCTAAAAACTCGGGGTGTTATTGTGGTGTTAACAGGTAAATCATGGGAAATCACATAATCTACTCACAACCTAGATAAAAGTGAAACTAGTTTATTAGGATTCAGACATTCTTATGTTGAACACGGTTTAGATTAAATTGAAAGGATTTGTAAGAGTTGTACATTAAACAGTATATAATCAATACATGAGAGTTAAAATTGAACTAGTTGCATATTTTTAATTTAAATATAAGAAACATTTTGATCAATAAATTAATAAGAAATATGCTGTAAGCTAAACTTTGTGGCAGAAATTTACTCTGGTACGGTCACATAAAATATTGCTTTAAGAATGAATTATCTGCTACATCCAAATTTTGTAAAAGTGTCAAGTTGTAAGAGTCTTATTGGCATCTTTCCCTTTTCGCTGTA